TATATATATATATATATAATATAGCCTTAATACCACCTATTTCTTTCACAGTTGCAAGGTAAACTGTTCACTCATATACACGTATTTGGATGGATGGCAAGTTGGAGTACTGAAATTCCAGAAAATGAATCTGAATATCTTGGCATCTATAGAATCAAATAATTTGGGACTACAGAATTCCATCTCTTCATAATTTGTTTTAAAAAGGTATTTTGGTTATAGCTTTTAATTTGAAAAAAGAGCTAATCCTGGGATAACATATAACTTAAATCTTTTCAAGATTCTTTTTGTTCAATAATTTTTCTTCCACAGACTGAGATACAAAGATAATGCATTTGAATTTATTTTTATTTTTATAATAAAGCTGATATCATTAATTTAAGATTTTAACTGCAATCCTATGAACTCTTACTTAAAAATTGGTTCAAGAGAACTCAATAGGCTTATATTCAAAAAGGGATGCATAAACTGATGGCTTGAAAATATTATATTTGTATAAAGTTAGGTATGTGGCAAAATAATTAACCCCTCAGTGATTGGTAACATCATGGAACAAATGTAGTCACATTACATTTTGGTTTGCTGCAACCTTGGACCAAAAATCGGAAGCATCTGAATAACAAAAAGTTAAACCTGGTACTCAAGTAAATGGCTGAACTTCCACCTGGGATTAGTTTGATCACTTCATTTACAAAAGACCAATGGTAAGTTGTGGTTTATTATTACTTGAAAAGCTTTGATTTCCTTTTTAACAAATCTACATTAAAATAGAATTGTTCAGAAGAATCGTTCATAATATCTATTGTTAAAATGTGTATTTGTTTTCTCTGTGTTGATACTTTTTATGACTGTAATAATATACTGCAGATATACTGTATTTCTAACAAGTGCTGTAATATAATTGTTGGGCATGAACCATAAACGGTGGTTTTTTTAGATCAGAACCATTGAGTTCAAGTGTGTATAAGATTATCAGTTAACTCGGTAGAAAGTTGTATAATCTTTACTGTCTTGATATGCAAAACACAAATGAAGAATTTCTATCCTAGAGATTAGATAATGTTTATAACTAGACAATATCTTGAAAAATCACAGCCATAGAAATTGACTGAAAATTTGCCCATTTTACTTGTGATATATGGTAGATATCACACTTGTTGGGCATGAATCAATTTTCAGAACATCTGGAAGCTATTCTAATATTTTCCTACTTATCCAGCAGTGTTTGTAGCTGATGCACAACTTCTGAGTGAGTGTACCTAAGATCCGCCAAAGCTTAAATTATTAATCTTTGAGAAAATGTACTCATGAAATACATTTTTATGTAACTCCCTAATCAATGGCAAATATTCTTCTTGAATATTCTTTCTTTTTAATGACAAACTTCCTTATCCTTGTTATGTTTCAAAAATTGTGTAAGACAAATGGAAAATTACTTAACTGATTTTATCTGCATTTCTGGATATAATAGAACAACCGAAAATAATTGCTAATATATTATCTGCAAATAAAATAACTGCAAAGCATGAAATGTTTGTTTTGTTACAGGTATAGGGCTTTCATATTTGTCTTGACTTTCATGCTGTATGTTAGTTTTCATTTATCAAGAAAGCCAATCAGTATAGTTAAGGTAAGCAAAAAGGAAGTAAGTTTTTTTTCTATATCCTGATGATGTCAAACAAGGAAGTATATGTTTATCTTCCCTAAAAGTATAGTTGTACATGACAGTACAGTAGATCTATAAAAATTCTGGATGACAATTAGAATTAGATAAATGTACAGTAATAAAACTACATAAAATATTCATAACAAACTATTATTTGGTTATTTGGTTCTACAAAGATGCTATATTCAAAGATATGTAAAACTTGTGTATATATCTTTAAAAGGCTTTATTTCACCTGATGTCACACTATGTTTGAAATATTATAAATGTGCATTTAGGATATTTGTAAAGATACAGATATGTTGTGATGAATTTATATGGAAAATTATGTTGGATATTCTCTTAAAAGTTATCCAAATCTTTTTATGCTTTTCATTTAACTTTTCACATGGCTAATTAGCCTTATCAAGTTTTGTGATAAACATAAAAGTTATAATCTATCTGAATTAGCCTTATCAAGTTTTAAAATAATACAGAGTAACATAACTTATTCATTCAATCAATCAATTTATATGGCCAGCCATCTCAAACAAGTGAATGGGCAGTGAACAATCATAAAAATAAAAAAGTAAATATATGCAGCCAGGAAAAATTATAATCCATAGAAGTTAATATAAAAAGGAAATGGGGTGCTTAATTTCATATTTAATTTTATAGTATGTACTATGCCAGATAAATTTCAAACTGAATAATGCATGTTATTTAAAATTTGAAAGATTGAATCAGCTTTATCAAGTTTTGAAATAATATAGTATAAAATAACTTATTTAACTTCATTTTAAATATATTTACCAGGATCTGATAGCTTGTTCCAGTAAGGTAAAGATTCAACAAAATAAAATATTCAACAGCATTTCTTTTCTCTCCTACTTTAATTTAGGGAGAACTGCATAAGCACTGTACTACTTTTCAAATTATTGAACGGGATACCTATGAAGAACATGCCATCCTCATTCCATCTGTTAAAACATTATATAATGATTCTCACTGTGGCTGGGAACCTTTTGGTGAGTAATAAGTCTCCCTTCCTCTGATAAAAATAATGAAGAGTGTGCAACCAACCATAATGTGCCTTGAGTGCAATCCCAAAATAATTGGAGCACTGCTTGAACACCATCGGAATTGATAAATTCACCACCAGTCAATTGTAAAAGGTAGCCTTACTTGGAACAGCTTACATCTACAATATCTGTAACACCTTCAGGCATTCATATCTGCCTATCCAAGGTCCTTGAGAAAGGACCTGATAAGCAGACAAAAATGCCAAATCCAGTCTGAACATGTGGTTGATTGTAAATAATAATAACAACAACAGCAACAACAGCTTATATCCTCCAACGTTACCTTAACAGTTCCTAGGTCCTTGGTTAGGACTCGAGCTGTTGAGCTACCAACCAGCCCCAAAGGCTATGAATCTCACCAAAGACTAACCACATATAATAATAATAGTAATAGTAATAATACTATTGGAACACCATTGGAATTAACAAAAATAACTACCTACTTATCAGTTGCAATTGGCAACTTTATTTGGAACTTATTACATCCTTCAAACAATACCTTTAACACTTTCAAACAAAAACATGTACCTAATGCCAGGTCCTTGGAGATGACTCAGTAGATGCATAAAAAGGTCAAATCTAGTCTAACCTCTAATCTGACTGTGCAAGCAACCATAATAATTAGAAAAGATTAGCAAACAAATAATTGAAGTAAAGCCCTGTTTGAAATAGGACAATCAGAAAAGTATATAGATTTTACTCCATCAGTTTTATTCTAAACATATCCTTACCTGAACTTTTTAATCTTGTAAGAAGAAAATATTTTTTGAAGTAAGTCAGGAACATTAAGAAGTTCAGTATACACACACACACACACATACATACATACATACATACAGGGTCTTTTC